AAGAAGGGGAATTTTAGGGCTGGGGATTTAGCTCAGCGGCAAAGCGCCTGCCTGGCAAGCGCAAGGTCGTGGGTTCGGTTCCCGGTACCGGAGAAAAACCAAAAAAAAAAAAAGAAGAAGGGGAATTTTAGTTTTTTGAGGCATATCCATGATAGGAAGTAGGGAGATCTTCTTCAAAGGGGAGAGAGAATAAGAGACGGAAGGAGGGAAGGAAGGAGAGAGAAAGGGAGGGGAAAAAAGAATTGAAGAAAAAATGGAGCTAGAGCTTTCACTAATGGGAGAGGCACAAGAGTTGGAAGGAAGTTCCAGGTACAGTGGTGCATGCCTGTTATCCCAGCCCTTGGGAATCTGAGGCAGGAGGATCAGTTCGAGTTTGAGGCTATCTTGGGCTACAAAATGCATTCAAGGCCAGCCTGAACTACATAGTGAAACCTTGTCTCAAAAAAAAAAAAAAAAAAAAAAAAAAAACAGAAAGAAAGAAAAAAGAAAAGAAAGAGAAAAAGAAGAAAAAGGTAGAGATGGGAAGCGTAGTGGATGAAAAAAGAATTCTGACATGTTATGTACACACACCAACTCCCCCCGATAAATGTAATCATTCTGTACAGCAACCATGCACTAATAAAGCATAAATAAATAATATTTTAAAGAAAAAACAAAAACACAAAAATGAGTGATGCCTATATTATTTACTGAAAAAAATATATATTAGGGAAAACAAAGTATGTCTCTAATTGAAAAAAACTAATCCAAGAATGAAAAATGGGCTTTGGACAAAATGGCCCAAAAGACATTTTCACATAGTCTCTAAGGAAAGGATAGCTCTTCCCTGTCCACACTGTCATTCTGGCCTGTGCATAGAATGGCTTCATGTCTTGTACACAGCCAGGGTTGAGGGATTGGGTTTTAGCACCTGGCAGAATTGAGCTGGACTCTGGCTCTACAGCTAACTCCGACCTCAATCTCTAAGCCCACACCTCCTCGTTAGCCAAAGTCCCACAGGAGGTAAAAAAGAGATCTAGAAGGTTCTCTTAAGCCATGACTCTCACACACACAACATGCCCCTTAATTCCAGAGTTGGCCCATATTACTTACTTTCAATAAAGAGCTGCCTTGAGGGCAATAATACAGAACCACATCCCAAGTCAGTACTGGGAAAGACACTGGGCATTTAAGGCTGGAATTTCGTGCACAGTGGGCCAGAAGCACTTTACTCTGCACAAATGAGAGTCTCAGATCACAAGAATGAAGTGTTCAACCACACCCAGAAAGAACAATCAGCTTTACCGTCAAGATTCCAAAGCTATAAAAGATTATTTCTCAATTTGGGACTGCCCGAACTAAATGAAAGCATCAACTGACTCCTATGCTAATAGTTTTATTTGGCAAAAATATTTTACGTTTATTAGCACTTCCATCGAGACGGAAGTATTTGTATCCTTGTTTTAAGATGACACGTTCTCATGGAAGTGAGGTCACACACTGTGGTCTGGACTCAGTCCAGGACCCAGACCAGCTCCTTCATTTCAAGGAATCTGTGCTTTAAATGTGCCTTCCCGCACTGTACCCAAAGAAAGAGGCGCCATTAACATGCTTTAACTTCCAGATTTCAAGTGGAAATTATGCTTGTGCAGTCACTAAGGCTGCTGTAATTAGAACAAGTAATTTCTAAATACAAAGGACAATGCCCAGAGCCAACTGAGGGACTCTAAAAAGACCATAAGACAAGAGTACACTGCATTCACTCTACCGCCCAATGGCTCTACCACATCTAGTTTTGGGTTTAAAACGTCTCAAATGGGGCTGGGGATTTAGCTCAGCGGCAAAAGCGCCTGCCTGGCAAGCGCAAGGTCGTGAGTTCGGTTCCCGGTACCGGAGAAAAACCAAAAAAAA